CTATAGGAAAACTTTTTTATAGCGTTGTACGAAAAGTTGTTATAAATTTTACAGTTATTTTTTGATTTATAATAAGTTTTTAAACAAGTTGATTTTTTTGATTTAAATCCATGATTAAAATAAAAAAATTGGCGCCGGGAGGCACGTATAGCCGCCCATACTAAAATATGTTAATAAAAAGTTGGTAGGCAGTTCTTTTAGTTTCGAAGTAAAGGAATTTTTCCAATTTTTTTTTTCTCAAAAACAGCGGCTTTGACTGATTTTGATGTTATTACAAATTTTGTTGCAAATATTATTCCTAATCTTAAATTGAAAACCGCGTTTCGCTAGCTACTGTAATTTTGGAGTGACGATTTTTTAAAATTTTTAACCCCCTCCCATACCCCCTTACCAACCCCCCACCCCATACCAAAAACTAATGTCCAGATTCTCGGGTGCCACAGTATTTTCGTGCCAAATTTGGTTAAAATTGATTTAGCGGTTTTTGAGTTATCGTGTTACAGACAGACGGACAGACTGACAGGCACCATGAAAATATTTTGTATTTAGGTCATTTATGACCGAAATAACTCATTTTGAGTTAAAATAAAAAAACTTTTTTTGTCGATCTTATAGCCTATCATACCTGTTGGTATGGTCGTTGGCTAAAAGAATCCGTTTATTTATATCACGATTTAAATCCTGATTTAAGTTGATTTAAATAATTGCACCCTGTTCAAAGTATTTTACATTATGTTCCAAAGTCGAATAGAATTTTAAAAGCGTTAGTTGTTTTTTCATTTTAAATGAATCTGCATGTAGTTGTAACCTTTATGGATCGTCGAGTTTTTCAAGAGAGTTTTTGAAGGAAGTATTATTACAAAAATGTTTACCTGTGTAGTGATTATGTTATGGTGTGTCATATTCAAGCTCACTTTCTGCTGCAGACAGACTAGAGAAATTGAGAATGGCAATAGAACACAACTCTTATATCTCTGTATTGGATACCTTGGTCGGTTCTTCTTCTGATTGATAGAATCTGCACATGGCTTCATTTGTCAATTCCATCCACCAGAGAGATGTTAGAGGTACTTAAAAAAAGTGCCCAGTCAAAACGTCCTCGGTGATGTAAGTATTTTTAGACAGTAAGCTATTGTCGTTATTTTCTCCTAAAAATAGCTACTCTCCTGTTTCTACTATTTCACCCCTCAACATTTCACAGTAACATAGCTACGGAATAGGAAATTCCGACGCATGTCATCAGGTCGAAGGACCTTTTCATTTCCAAGCCAAATAACAAACTGCCCGCCTGTCTTGTGCCAATTTCCGGTCCGACAACGGAATTCGATCGGACACGATGGACTCGTCCTCTATCCGGGATGCGAATCCGGATCGAAGCGCCACGCCAGCCGGCGAGGGTGGCGCCCCGACCGTCGCTGATCTCCCCCTTCTCGTTCCCCCCTGTGAGCGACGTCCGTCGCTGCCGTCGCGGCGCCTGCGTCTTCGCCTCGGCTAGACACGCGGGGTCCGCAGTGTGACGTCAGGGCTCGATAGGCGCAGCGCCGTCCGCGCGATCGCACCAGCTCGCAGCAGTGCCGCGGTTTGCAGGAAATTGTACGGGGTTTAGTACATTAGGAGTGGGAGTTAACACATTAGTATGTGCACTTGAGTTTACATCTTCTTCCACTCCTCCCAAATTCCAGTGCGGGACATACCAAGAATGTACAGCTTTGAAAAGCACCTCATTGTAGTTTTGAGCAAGAAAAAGAGTTTGAAAAGAGAAACGTATGCTCGGCAGTTAAAAGACCATAACATGACGTGGTATACTTATGTTTCCAAAACTAAAGCAGGAACAGGGATAGGAGAATTTGAGCCGAAAACTAAATACTCCAAACCGATGGAAACCCACCCCAGCATCCTTGAGGCAGAAATCTACGCTATCGAAAGATGCATACAACTTATCTTAGATAGGAACTATCGGAAACAATAAATAACCATCTTATCCGAAAGCCAAGCAGCCTTAAGGGCGATTAACACTAATTTACCTAGTTACCAGAGTAACCATTAACTCGAAGTTCTTCAAAGAAGATGAACAAGTTAGGCAAAGAAAATAAAGTCCACCTATTCTGAGTGTCATCACACCAAGGGATAGACGGTAATGAAAAATAAAACGATCTAGCTAGAAAAGGAGCAAACACACCATTAACTGGGCCAGAACAGTTCTGTTTCCCAAGAGGAAACCAACTTAGAGCAGAACTCAAAAACCTGGAAGACTCCATCGGTAATTTGAAATGAGAATTTTCCAAGACCCTCGAAGAAATTTCCCAGGACATACGACAGGGAAAAATCAAGGATTTTCTTTGATTTAAGGAAGAATAATCATGGGATTGTCACGGATTTTTTAAAAGGAAACTGTTAAAAAGAAAAGAGGACACCATAGGACGTATCCCATACAGTCTACAAGTATGTGCACTTGATTCTTGATTTTACATTTTTTCATTCGTTAGTCATCCACTTTTAGATTTCCTCCAATGTCGTTCTTTTGACTTTAAATGTCGTTCTGTTCAGGGCAGTTTGCAACCAATTTCTGCCTGCGATATTTTGTATATCGTCGCGCCATTATTTCGGATGTCTTCCAACACTCCTTTTGGTTAGTTTTAGAGGCCAAGCCATATTGTGTCTGTCCTTCTGGAAGTTGACGGGCTGTATGTTCAGCCCATTGTCGTTTGAGTTGAGCTTTGCTTCTGTGAATGGTTGTACTGGAATATCTATGACATGAAAGTCCTCCCACATATATTGATGTAGGACACTTGCTCAAGAAATATACAGGGCGAGTCTTAAATAAGTGCAAATATTTTTAGGGGTAGGTAGTATATTTCGACGCCAGAAACACGTTTATGAAGTGTTTTTCGCGAAAAAAAATTATGAAAATTTGGAATTTTTTTGGAAATATTTTTAGTTTTTAGTTAAAAAAATAATTTCTTGATAATCTGGCAGTTAGATTAAATTTACAAGAAAGAAAACCCAGAAAAGATCCAGGGCTTCTCGAAATTTAACCAAAAGATCATTTTTGTTTAATTTTCGAAGAAAAACTTTATTATTTTGCGCTTATTTGAAAAACTGTAAATAGAAAATATATTTCTTTTATCGGGATCTGCCAGGCCTGAAAATATTTGCACTTATTTAAGACTCACATTTATGAAAACCCTGTATAATAAAGAATTGCGAACTCCCTCATTTTCCTCTTAGCTATGTATGGCTCCGATACCCTGGACACTAAAGGAAGGTGATAAACAAAGAATAAACGCCTTGGAGATGTGGGTATCGACGAATGCTGCGAATACCATGGACGGCTCATCGAACAAACATTTGCATTATTGAAGAACTAAAAATTGAGACACGTCTGGTCACAAAATTAATATTTCGATATTTTGGCCTTATTGCCAGGAGTGGCACCTCAATGGAGAGGCTGATGGTAGAGATGGTAGAGGCCGAGGCTTTAATCATGCGATTTAAATAAAAGAAATAATTTTATTGATACTTTATAATAAATCAAAAAATAACTAAAAATATGTCCTAGAAAACTATAAAAAATATTTCTATAACAAATAACAGTTAATAAATCGAAAAATAATGGTAAATGTTGTAAAAAATTATATAAAAATATCTATTCGTCAATTTAAATCTTGGACCGATTTTTGAAGTAATTTCGTGTGAATCCATTAGACCGCTAAACGCAGGGATTTATTTTAAAATTTATGTATAAGTGACAAAAATTCGCTGTTCGAATACATATCATTCGCAAAGTCTAGTACAGAACTAGGTTTTTCTAATATAGATACTATATCTTCATTCCCGAGAATCTATAATCGTCGAAAATATGTTGTTGTTTTTTTTTGAAACGGTTTTATGTTTCCAAATTCCTACCGACATGACATTGTGATCTGCAGTAAGTACTTTACACTTTCACATTAGATAATACATACTAATTTCATACTCGACTTAAGACTATTTCCGAACAATAGTGTATTGTTTTATTAGGAGTAAAAATTATACTTTTTTTGACGATGCTGTATCTTTGAAGGACCATCGTAAAGCTATTCCGACGGTACAGGGAGGTACAAAAAGTACATTTTTTAATCAATTTCAAACATTGCAAATAATATAAACAGTAATCGAGCAACAATTTCTTCACTCGTTGAATTTGAAACTTAATATCAGTTTAATAATATATTTTTGTACTTTTCTGCTTAGGCGTAACAGTGCTTTACTTTTATGCCTAGGCGTTAAAATGACAGAAATTGGTACTTTTATGACGTTTGAAAAAAAATCCTTTTTGATCTGAAGCGAGCGACTTTTTTTGCGGAATATATTGGTGACCGATGTGGAAAAATGACACGTGCCGTAGAATTGTTAAGGGTATCAGTATCGGACAGAGCTATAAAGATTTAGTCATTTAGGATAGGTCTTTTGGAAATCCGATTTAAATATTGTTTTCAATTAAAAGCAAAAAATATAATATTTATGATTTTTTCAACCTTGTCGTTAATATTAAAGGAATAAGACGCAGACAAGAAAAAAGAATTAATTCCTTATGTCATGCTTAAATCGTCAGATTATTTAAATGTACACTTTTTTGCATGTCACTCACCTTGCCTTAATCTGATGCGCTCGTGGTTTTCGAACGATCAATTTTTATTTACTATGATCGGCTGCCCTACATGCACGAGACCCTGTATAAAAGGTTCATGTATGAAAGGGTGCCTCCCCTTATGCTATTCTGCCGTTTGAGTAAAACCCAAAATCCCCGCGTTAACCTCCCCTACTATTTAGTTTAATTTAATTTATCAACAATTTCTCCAAATTTCAAAGAATGCAACCATAGACCTTATCGAACAACCCATTTTGCAAGTCACCCCTAACTTTCTAATTACATCCAAAACTTTAAACCAAACCTATCACATTTTTCCGTACATTTCCTGCTAGCCACCTAGTACATTCCTAACCCTGCGCGCAGCGCTGCCGGCTCTCTCTCAGTGGGTCCGTGCCCGTCCTGCAGTGCGTTCCGTTGTCGTCGGTGCCGGTTACAGTTGCTGCTGGCTGGCCGCTTATGAGGTCCTTTTGCATTTAACACGACCCTCATCGCACTCAGACTGATAAGAAAGCAACGCCAAATCCGTGCTCTTCTAAATCGAAACAAACTGTTTTTATTGGTGCGCCAGTGAGAGTGAGACCGACAGTGCAGTGGACAGCGGCCGGCTACCATGGGGGAGGAGGTACGTTACTTAAAGCCGCTGATTCTAGTGCTCTAGTGCTAGTGACAATGTTACCGCTAGTAGGCCAGTAGGATGTAGTAGTTACGAATTTTTGTTTGGTCGTTTTCTGTCGGAGAACGATGGATCTGATGGCGACGATCGATCTAGGGAGGATTTGTGAAATACCCGTATCTTGTAGTGCATTGCTGAAGCTTATTAAGTACCGGGTTGTTACTGTTAGAAATAGTTAAGTCTGTGACAGATCTCTCCTGCTTTCTTTTATCTTAGAGTTAATTAATACTAACGATATCTATTGAGTCATGAAATCCTGATCATAGTAAATTGAAGAAGCATGACAATACAAGAAAAAGTGCTTTAAAATATATTTCTTACACTATCTGAAGAAGAATCAACCAGTATTACTCAGAATCAAAGCTTTTAACTTAGAATTTAAACGACCTTTATGGTAAGGTGGTTATGTCATCTGGTGATCGATATAGGTATTGCTTTGAAATCTGTTAATTTTAAATACCTACAGTTGTGTGAGCGTTATATAGAGCATTTTGATCGATTTCTGTTACCTTAAAATCGATTGACCTTAGCACATTGAAGAAGCATTAAATGATATGCAAATATGAGCTTTTGGTGCTATAGATAGTTATGATATTTTTGAGTAAATTACAACGAAGAGATTTGTTTCTTTTTCCAAACTAAAAATGTGGCTTTTGTTGAAAAAATCAACCCGAACTATATTTTTCGTTGTTGAAGCATGTATCTTGATTTCTTTTTAAAGTAGTTATGTCATTTTATTGGTGCTTGATTGTAAAGACTTCCATTCTGGGGTAAACCACCATTCTTTTATTAAAAATATAACAATTTTTGAGTTTTTTTTTGGTGTGTTATCGACATGAGGGAGGTACAGTTGGTAAAAGCCACTGACGTTCTAGTGCTATTGTCAATGCTACCGCAAGTAGGCCAGTAGGATGTAGGAATTCCGTATTTTTTGGCGACTATCGATCTAGGGAGAAATTGTGAAATACCCGTATCTTGTAGTGCATTGCTGAATCTTATAAGTACCAAACTCTATTTAGTTGAGTCTGTGACAAGTCCCTTCTGATTTTTTTTTATCTTAAAGTCGATTAACACTAACAAAATCAATTGAGTCATGAAATGCTAACCTTAGTAAATTGAAGAAGCATTACAGTGCAAGAATAAGTTCTTTAAAATATCATTATTACAGTGTTTAAAAAAGAATCGACCAGTATTACTCAAAATCAAAGCTTATGTCTCGATATTTTTTGTAAGGTGGTTATGTTATCTGGTGATCAATATATTGCTTTGAATCTGAGAGCATTTAGATCTATTTCTCTTATCTTAAAAACGATTTATTTTAGCAGATTGAAGAAGCAATTAATGATATGCAAGTATGAGTTCTTGATGCTATAGATAGTTATGATATATTTTGAGTAAATTACACCCGAAGTGCTTTCTTTCTTTTTCCAAAGTAAAAATTTGACTTTAGTTGAAAAAATCAACCGGAACTACATTTCTCGAAGCATGTATCTTGATTTCTTTTTAAAGTAGTTATGTCATTTAGTTAACGGTTGATGGTTAAGACTTCCATTCTTGAGTTTCCATTTCTTTTATTAAAAATATAACGATTTTTGAGTTTCTTTTGGTGTGCTATCACGAGGGAGGTACGATTGGTAAAAGCCACTGACGCTCTAGTGCTACTGTCAATGTTACCGCTAGTAGGCCAGTAGGATATTGAAGTTCCTCTTTTTTTTTTGAATGGCGACGATCGATCTAGGGAGGAATTGTGAAATACCTGTATCTTGTAGTGCATTTCTGAAGTTTATAAGTACCAAACTCCATTACTGTGAGAAGTAGTAGTCTGTAACAGGTCCATTCATTTTTTATCTTAAAGTCAATTTACAACCTAACACTAACAAAATCAATTGTATTTACTCAGTATTACTCAGAATCAAATCTTTATGTCTTTTTGTATGGTGGTTCTGTCATCTGTGTGTGGTTATCAACATATTGCTTTGAATCTGTTAGTATTAAATACCTACAGTTATGAACTGATATATTAGATAGACATTTAGATTGACTTCTCTTGTCTTAAAAACTGATTGACCTTATCACATTAAAGAAGCATTACGTGATATGCAAGTATAATCTCTTAACGTTATAGATAGTTATGATATTAAAAAACTAAAAACTTAGAACTACATTAGTCCATGGTACAAAGAAAACAAGGTATGATATTGCGCAGGTTGGTCGCTACGTGACAGGTCTCCGCGCGCCAATTCAGATCGTCAAGATATTGTAATGAACCTGTTTTTTTGTTTATATACCGTCATTGAACTGTAGCTAAGCAAGTTACTTTGGAGCAGTGGGTGAAGAGTCAGGCTAGGAAGCGAGAGACCGGAGTTCGAATGTCGGCCGGGTCATAACTTTTTTATTTAATTTTTTAAATACTGTTGTATTCTATAGTTTATTTTTGTAGTATAAAAAAAGAACTATTTATTCTGTTATTTTTTAATCTCCGGTATTATAAAAATTTTATATATTTTATAAATTGATTGTTGGTACAATACCTCATTTAATATAAAATAATATTCTACTTTTTGAAATGTATCGGGTCCTAATTGTACCTAAAAGTAATATATTTTTACAGTGATATACCATATTGTAAACTATTTAATATTTTAGTCACTTAAAAAGTTAATTTGTATTTAATAATTGCCTGCCATTAAAGGAAATTTGAGCTATAATCCTTGATGGGCATATTCTGGGTATGCAAGTACTTTCTCTAGATTTTGGGTTTCGTTCAACCGATTTATTCTCAAAACCTGAGACATCTACATATAAAAAGAAGCACAGGTTACTAATTATAATAAACTTCACCCTTGGAATTACTTCCACTAATTGTAATAAATTTCACCCTTGAAATTACTTCTATTACAATTACAATACATTCATCTGCATTGGCATTTTCTACTTTTTGATGGGAAACAATCAACTTCCCAACATTTTTAAATTTAATGTAACAATTCCTCTTGTAGTTACTTTTCCATAGATATTCTCATCTCTGTCGCCATTCCCCATAAACATCGCAAACTAAAAACCTAATAAACAATTTTATACCGAATAATATCGTCCAAATCCATGTTAATAGATAATATTTTGGATTTTTGTCTTTTATTTTTAAATATATATTTTTGGAACTGCTGGTTTTAGCAATTATTAAATTAAACGAACTAAAAAGTCAGAAAAAATAAACAATTCTTAACCATAACCCTAAAAAATACAAAAAATGCAGATCTCCTGTCAACTTTCTTTATTTTTTATTTATTCATTATTTTCCTAGTGACGTCACAGGTGGTATGCGCGAACTGAACGAAATAGAAGCCGCTATCGATCATACCTTGTATTCTTTGTACCACGACATTACTCTATGGTTCCAGCATGTATCTCTTTTTAAGGTAGTTATGTCATTTAGTTAGAGTCTCATAGCCAAGACAATTTTTGATACTTTTTCGGTGTGCTGCCATGAGGGAGGTATGAGCTTATAATATAGCTGATAATGTTATCATTAAAGGGATGTAAACGATGTATTGAAAACCAATGAATTCTTATAGTGATAGTGTATATTCCGAAAGCAATATCATGATTTATGTCGTTTCAAACACTGATATAGTCGAGCAATGGAGAAAGTAGTGTATCGTTGGCGTAATGATATTGTCTTTGTAGATACGGTAGTGTTTTCTCTTTGTATTGCTCAATACCACAGTGAGATGTTTTTCAAAGTTCTACATACTTGGTATGTAATTCACTGGGATTTGGAGGCGTAGAATTTTCCTTTTGAGGGTGTTTCAAACTCATATTCTCTTACCTTAAAATCAACTGACCTTATTACGTTGAAGAAGCATTAAATGATATGCAGCTCTTTTATGAATAAATTGCCATAAAGAAGTTTTTGGTTTCTTACATTGCTCGATATTATTAAAACATATATTTTGATCCTTTGTTAAGGAAGTTATGTCATTTAGTTAACGTTTCACAGCCAAAACATCCATTCTTAGATTTCCATTTCTTTTAATAAAAATATAACAATCTTGATTCAATTCTAGTTAATCCAGTCATAATAAATAATATGTCGTCAGTATTGAACTATGTTAGTGTGCTGATAACCAATATTTTGTTTTAACTATTTAGTTTACCTAAATTGAGTTACCTAAATATGTTAATATGAAGTTTGGTTTTATGTAATGTCTGTGCTAAAACAACTATAAAATATCCACGAAGTAGCTACATTTAGACATTTCAAATAGTTTTTCTTTATTTTGTTATTTTGTTTGTCTCTGACTGTGGAGAGAGATATACCCTCTGAAACATTAAGAATTTTTTTATTGAATACTGGTACAGTGGTGAAATTACCAAGGTTTTTTTAAGAAAAGAAATTACCAACTTTCCATTAGACTAAAAGCTGTAAACGATTCCCTGCATCGTCGAATTAATTTATGTATATCCCATGTCTGAAATCTTGATAACTAACCTACGTAACCAAACCACACGCGCAGAATATAAATGTTATGTGTCTGTAGTATATTTTTAGTTCTGTTTCGCTATTTTTAATCATCAAAATTCGTAACAAGTTTTCGAGTGTTTGGACGTCAAGTTTTGTTCAAAGAATAGGTGTGTGTTAATTATAGTGATACCGGCTGGTGCTGGAAAATAAACTAAAGGAGATACTAGGCGGGCACTTGACGTTTGGCGGAAATATAGGTCAAGTCTAGAGAAGTTTAGTCTGTGGTATGGAGGTCGATTTATGTTTGTGGAACATTTGTTAGAACTTTTTAAAGTTTTGTTATCGATAAAGAATCTCTATTTTATGAAATGTGGAAACAGAAATTTTAGTATTCAATACTTTTTTGTATGTTAAAGTAGGAAATATCTTTAAAAGAAAATTTATTTTTATTTTAGTATCATTTTGCTTCCACTCGTTAGTTTTT